GCGCCTCTAGTGTCCGTTATCAAACGGTTACGGGACTGACGGACAGACACCTGTTGAATGGGTTATATATATATAGTCTATTATAACCGCATTTAACCTTAGAATTATTGCCTTCTGTAACGTATATTTAGTTCCTCAATCAATGTTTTGTTTATTTGTTAAACCTGTCTCCTGTCTTTGAAAGGACGCCTGACGGCTTACTGACGCACTCCCCACTCACTTTTTGCCCTCCTAGCCATTTGACGACTCAGAGACCGGGTTTTACCAGCCTGTGCAGTGTAAGTGGTCAGGAGGGATTAACCCCTGGCCCTCTGCGAGTCCCACAAAGTCCTTATAGTTGATAGAACTACCTTTTGGATAGATTTGTAAATGTAAAGTGCCTCCCTCTGTGTAACATATATGGTACCTGTTCCTAATGTTTTTAATGATTTTGGCTTGTTGCCAGCACATATTGACAGAATCAGAGTACAGGCTGCAAGGACTTCTGAATGTTGTATTTATGCTCTTTCAGTTTTGCTTCTAATGATCTTAATGTGGCCCCTATGTACTGAAAATCCTATGCAACTCTCTTGTCTTTAAGTGGAATAGCATATATATCTCCAGAACATTGCTAGCAGTGCTGCTGATTCTAGGGTAATTTCAACTTCTCAGGGTAATGTTTAGGGTAGTCTTATATTTAGGGTAAATCTGCTCTGTGATCTGTGCTATTACTTATCATGCCACATGTTTTGCCGGAAAAACTTTTAGCCTAAAACTGTTCTGTTTTCCTCTATAACTGGAGGGTTTTAGGATAGGACATCACAAGCTAAAGAAATAAAGCAGATTGGTGCTAGGACACAGGTGTACACTGTATATTACATCTGAGTAGGATTTTGCTTTTCTCAACCTTCATGCCATTGGGCCATTGGCACAATACAGTACAGGTACAACTTTTGAATGACACAAAAACTTTTTGTCATTCATCAGCTCATCTCATTTTGTGGCAGATTTTATTTATTAAGATCTTTAAAAACAATGAATTAAGAATGTTCTGATTTATTATTTCACAATAATAGTACAGGGATTTGTGTCAGAATCGTTCATCTTATTTTTTTTTTATCTGAGCATGAGTTTTCTCAATTTAGGGTAATCTAGGGTAAAACAAAGGTGCCATAAGGATAGTTCCACCAGAAGGAGGTGGCAGCACTGGTTGCTAGGGTTGGACAAGGTCTGTATAAGAAGGTCAGGACACGTGTGACCTACTAATTGAGCCGCCATTTTGGGGTATTTTGCGTCGCATGTTTTAAGCAAACTTGTACGAGCAGTCTGTTTTATACGACATTAATTAAACAAAAATTGCATAAATCCAGTGATTTTCAGTCGAAAATATAATAATAATTTCGGATGATTACGCAACCCCAATTTTATGTAACTTTTCGATCAAATAGTTTAAAAGAAACAATCATCTATATCATTTTCTGTCGCGATTGAAACTAATTAAATAGGTGCTAAAACTGATGCAATTACGTATATAGACACTTCGTAAAGTGATGCAATAACATCAAAAAAAATTTAAAGTATAATAAAGAATATAATAATATAACAAATTTATAATTATTTTTTAAAAGCACGATTGGCTATAAAATTAAGATAAAATTCAATAGTATTATTAATAAATGTTGTCAATGTAATACTCATTTTATAATAAGTAATAGATGTGTAGATATATTTTTAATTTATAAATAGCTTTCAAAAAATTCCAAATATAAAATTTTAAATTAAATTATTTGACAATAAACTGACAAATAATACTTGAATAGAATACAATATATTCAAACAAAATATGAATATTTGTTGCCATAGCAAAATAATGCTAAAATTTTCTTTTTTACAATTAAATAGTCAATTTTACTTTAATTAAATAAAATCTGTTTTTAAATGTTCAGGATAAAAGATTTGAATGATCAGTGGAAAATAATTATTGAAACGCGAACGAAAAAATTAAATATAAATAAAATCAATTAAATATTATGGAATCTCTAGATTATAAGAATTAGATACATTTAGATTTCCATCACGTCTTTTAAAATAAAAATTCTGACAATAAAATTAATGTAAATTTTATTTAAATTGAATTAAGTATAAATTACTATTAAACTAAATTTTTTGCAATGTTTTATTAATAAATATTGAGAGTATAAGTCAATACCATCATCATAATTTTATTTTTAAATACAATATGGTCATATTAAAACAATTACATGCTTAATTATTTTATCACCAGATAGAAAAATGAAAAAATTACATTTGTTTTATATCTGGATTGCCAATATCGTTTATAAATTTCCATGTATAGTTCGTTCATAAACACGAAGAGTATCTACTCGTTTAGACCACTTGTTACAAACTTTAAACATATAAACTCTTTGAACTGCATCATGAACCATCAGTTGATGCCTACGCTACATTTTGCTTTCCTCCGCTTATCTGCAGGAAATCTGAACAATCGAACGTCGGTAGACTTACTTTTACAATTAGGTGCAACACAATAACCCATTGCTTAACGTTTTAAGTACGTATATAAGTAATAATAGTCGACTCATGCAAGAACCACGTATGGTGAGCTCTATCGATGAGTCCCAAAATGGCCACTGCCGCATAGAATCACAGGAGCGTGTCCTGACCTTCTTATACAGACCTTGGGGTTGGAGGATTCTTATCATTATGTAAAAGCTTTAAAGACACACCAACTGTCGTATAATATTGGCTATATTTCAGTGATAATAATTTGAATTACTGATTAATTTGTCCTTATAGGGAGACATTAAGTGCCATCTTGTATTAAATTTAATAATTTTAGAATAATCTGTAATAAAAGAATTTGCCTGGAGCAGGACTTAAACCTGCATCTCCAGATTATTCTAAAATTAATTAAATTATAATTATTAAATTTAATACAAGATATTGCCTATCATCTTCCTCTAAGGACAAATTAATCAGTAATTTAAATTATCATCACTGGAATATAGCCCGATATTATACAGCCGTTGGTGTGGTTTCATAGTAATGAATCGGGTTTCGGAAGATGTTTATATTTATGTAAAAGATTGTAGACTGTCAGATTTCTTTTGTATAGGATCTCTCACTTAGTGGATTTATAATTTGCTTATAAATGTGATGGAGAGGTCTTGCATATCTAACAACTGTGTAGTCTGATCTTATGGAATCATCATTGTTTTTATTGGGTTCTGAATGGAACTTATACATAAGTGCCTTGATAATGTTAGATTTAATGCAAAATGTTGAGCAGAGATTTGATATACTTAAATTCTTGCATTCTATCAGGAACATCTTGTAACTCATCTAATTAAAGCTCTGAAGGTTGCCAGTTTTTAGTGCGAAGGGCCATGAGAGGCCTATGGAATGAATATGTTATAAAATTAATTAATAAACAGGAAATTTTTAATTTAACACTGATATGCATAAAAACATTCCTTACTTATTCCAGCAATGTTTATTCTGAATTACAAATGTTTTTAGTTGCATTTAGAGGCTGCTTTCAAGTAAAAAAAAAAAAACAGTTTATTTACTTGAAGAATGCCTCTAAATTCAATCAAAAATGTTTGTAATTTAGAATAAGCATTGCTGGAATAAGTAAGAAGGGTGTTTTGTGCATATCACTGTTAATTGAATAAGTTATGTTCTATTTTTTGTTTTGTCCAATTCTGTATTTAACCTGAAAATGATCTTTAAAAAAGGTCATAAACACTTATAATTAAGCTGTTCTTGCTACAAAGGTTTTTGTATGAAGTTTGATTTTTTTTTTACATGATTTTGATTTAACATGGTCTGGAAAATAAATTCAGTTCTCTTTACATAATTAGTTAAATTAACGTGTTTCAATAAATTTGCCTTCTTAAAAATCTTTGTTTAATATTTTTTTCTGGGTAAAAATATTCATAAAAATTAAAAACACTAATTTTACATTTCTCCTTGCAGATTAATGAAAAAATTCAAAAAACAAACCCTTTTGGTCTACTTATAAGACCTGCTTCAGGTTGTTGGAATGCTGAGGTCTTTGATGTTTTAAAAATGGAATGTGCAAAAAAACTCTGTATAAATTTGAATTCAACATTTTAATTGACCAATTGGGTTCTTCCTCTTGTAGTTGTTGTATTGAGTCTTTTATGCTGATGTATTATATAAGGCCAGCCCTGCTTGGGAAATTTGTTTTTCTTCTTTAAAGTTACCGTAAATTAGACACCATAAATAAATACTTTTACAGCAATCATTTTATAAAAAGTGATTTCTGGAAAATTATTTATGGTGTGTAACTTTATAGTGATTAATCTCAATTTCAGCGTGGACATTTGGTTATTCTTTAAAGTTGATACACTTACCTGCTTTTCTGCTTTAAAGATTTCTAGTGTCTACAATAAGATATTAGTTTTTTCCCTGTTTTCGTAATTTTGCTTGTTGTAAATTGGCTTGAATTTCATTTTTATCTGCAAATACAAAAAGGGGTAAAATGTAAGGTTTAGAATGTTTTTAATTTATATTCTTGCCTTATTTTATGGGACATTGAAACATTTATGAAAATTGAGAATTGTACTGGTTAAAAAATTGGTTTTTCAGTTACCCCAGAAACCAATTTTTGGGGTAACCAAACTATACCAACCTAATCAGGAATTTAGCCAGTACAATTCACAACACTCATAACTTGGACTGTAAAGATAAAAATGGATATAATCAACATAAAAACACAAGCCATATCATTCTAGAATATAACCACAATATGCTATCACTGTTTAAAGAAATAGCAAGACAAAAAGAAACAAAATTAACTTTCAGGCACAATTCTACTATCTTTAACACATAAATAAAGTTATGTAATTCAACAATTCTTGTACTAAAAATATTTATTGTACTTACTTAATATACTATATTTAAATTTTGCTTCAAAATTTTATATTAATAACTTTTTACATCTATACTGATCCAACTTTTTGTTTTTTCCTTAGAACCATGGATTAAATTCTTGGCAGCAAGGTGCTCTACAGAGTAATCAAGTTCATACCAGTAATTCACTATTAAATAGGGATTTATTCTGCAATTATGCATCTGGAACTCTGGGAAATATTGGAACTAGACCAAATTTAGAAGGATCTGGTGATTCTCCTAGTTATCTTGGTTTATCAACATATGCATATGGATTTAAAGCTGATACTGAACATCAGCAGAACTTTGAAAATCACATTCAAAATGGACAGGTAATTTTAATATTTTTTAGTTATTGTATTTTTGCAGCTTTATTTATAATGATCAAATCAAAGAAATATAACATGAATTGAAATGAGTTTGTACATGAATGTAAAATAGTGGGAATTATTATTAAATTTTAATTTAATGTGTTTAAGCCCTTTTTAGTCTTTTTTTTTTTTTTTTTTTGAAATGAGCATTCAAAAAGTGTCAATTTTTTATTATTGATATTTGATATTTAGCCCAATGTCATATGGCAGTGGTTGTTGTTTTATCTATATATATATAAAAATGAATGTATGTGTGTGTGTGTGTGTGTGTGTGTGTGTGTGTCTGTCCTTCATGCATTACCACACCGTTTATCCGATTGCCATAAAACTTCGGAAAGTTTTTTAATACACTCCCGTGAAGATTTTTGGCATAGTACATTTATCCTACGATAGATGGCGCGCATTTACACGAGCATTCGAGCACAGTGTGTTCGATCAATTTCAAATTATGAAGACCATTTACCCCTTCAAAAAATATTTCTATATATGCATTTGTGAACTGTTATTTACGATATTCGTAATAATGTTTGTTTAATCACTTTATTTCAACTTTTTTTTGCTAATTACGTATTTGCTCGAACTTTGTTAAAACTTTAACTGTATACCGAACAACAACCGAAGTTGTAGAAGGAAATTCGCCTATTTTACCGATCTAGGGATCCCCTTTTCCAAATTTTAATATCATCTAATAATTTAAAAAGACAAATTACAATAAAACGGTTTATTATCCAACTATCAGAAATTTCACAACATGCCAAGGAAGAGAGGAAGGAGCAATTAAATAATTAAAATTATAAAGGATTTAAAAATATATATAAAAATGGGGAATATCGCACTTCTGACAATCGCAGCGAGTGTGTGGGCTAAATTTGGAGAATCCGTGCTTCTCGCATGGACAACTGTATGTGGCCGGCTCACGTGTCGAAAAACCTTCCGATTTATTCATGTACGCACCAGATGGAAAAACAAAAAATATCGTGTATCCACAAACACTCCAATAAATAAATAGAATTGAAACGACACTTTGAAATGTTTTTCCGATGAAAATGAATAATAATAATAAGTTTCAATAAAAATGATAAAATGTAAATTGAATTTTATCATAACGAGTTTGCTTGAATTTCCTTTCTTCTGAGATAGCAGCAATGCGCGACGGGTAAGCTAGTTTGATATAAAATTAACTTTGATGCAAAATATACAAAAAAAAAAAAATTTTCTAGCTGTTGTTTCTTTCTAAGAATATACAAATTTTTTACAAGCCCTAGTAATCCTGTATTTCCTCCTTTACTGTTCTGCATACAAATATTTTTGTAATGTTGGAAACAAAATATAATTTTTATTTAAAAATTCGTATAATTCATGATACAATGAAAATGTGTCACAAGAGCATATACAGGTAGCCCTTGGTTTATGCTGACACTGATTCACAATAATGTCGCTGTGCGATTTGCCGTTTTGCCACATAATTTCCCAATTTTCTTTATGCTAGACTGATTTTCATTTCAGTGTTGATGTATTTACTGATCTGCAACATTGTACATTTGTTAAAATAAAAATTTTTATTGAATATATTTATTTTTTCTGTTTAATATTATTGGGTATGTATACATTTGCATTAAATTAATATTAAAATACTAAATGCTTAGCTACCCATGTATACAAGAATAAAGGAGGGTTATTATGTCAGATAAAAGAAGTGCACCAAAGTTATCTAAACATGTTAAGAAGGCACGGCAATCTATCTCCCTAGAAACAAAAATGGAAGTTATTTAACGAATGGAAAATGGACAAACATGCCCTAATGTCTGTAGATATTTGAACTTAACTCCATCGACTGTTACTCTCTTGAGCAAAGTGTTTAATTTTATTTGCATTTTTGAATTTTTGAAAAAATGGAAAAATTGTTATTGTTATGGATGATGCAAATCAAGAAAACATCTCCTTGACTCAAGCTGCTATAACTGAAAAAGCAAAATCAATTTTTGATAATCTTAAGGAGACAGATGGAGGCAAAGAAACTTTTGGGAAGCAAGGATTGGTTTATGAGATTTAAATCCTGAAGTAACTGTTGTAGTGTAAAATTTATGTGATGAAGCAGCAAGTGCATATCTTGCAGTGATAACTGCTTTTCCTAAGGAATTTCAGGGTTATGTAAAACAAGGCAACTATTCTCCAGACCTATAATCTTCAATGTTGATGAGACTGGGCTTTATTGGAAAAAGTTACTTTTTTCTCATGAAGAATGTTCCACTCCAGGTTTAAAAGTTTCAAAAGATAGATTAACTCTTTTGTTGGAAGCCAATGTTTCAGGAACTTTGAAACTTAAACTGATGTTAGTGTATCATCCACAGACACCATGTGCTTTAAAGGGTCTAAATAAAGACATGTTGCCAGTTTATTGGAATGGAACAAGAAAGCTTGGGTCACACAAGATGTTTTCACAGATTGGTACACAAGTTATTTTTGTCATATTGTGCTTTGCTTTTGTGAAGAAAATAAATTACCACCCAAGGCACTTCTCTTGGACAGTGCTCCAGGACATCCTCAAAATGTTGATGAAATAAGAACACCATTGCATGTCAAGGCTGTTTACATGCTTCCCAATACAAAATTTTTTTACTACTTTTCGGGGCTCAAAATCATGGTGCATCTTATACTCGACAGGTGACCACTTTTACAGTGAAATTATCTACAGTAGTGGTCCACTCTAGGGACCAACCTGTGCAGTGGTCCGTTAAGCAGATGGTTCCTCAACCGATTGGCTAGAGTATCTAGATTATCAGAGTAGCGACACACGAGTCATCGCCACCATGTTCTGTTGACTGTCATCATGTGACATCTGAGTTTACATTAAGAAATGATGATTATTTCAGTTTAATAAAGGTATCGATTCATCCATCTGTCATATTCTTGAATAAAAAAACGAATAAAATGCATCTTTAGACAATCTTTAACAAATTAGACAATTAAAAAAGTATCTTTCTAAATTTTTTGTCTCAAAATAGGGGTGTGTCTTATACTTGACAGCGACTTATACTCGTCAAAATACGGTAGATTTTAAAGAAATGAGAAGTGCTTTGAGTCAAAACTAATATAAAAATTTAATAATAATAATTTTGGCAGAGTAATCCTTTTTTTATAAGTAAATTATATACATTAAAGAATAAATACTTAATTGAAGCAATCAACACATTATTCTAAAAGCTGATTATATACATACAAACTTGGTTATAATGAGCACTGGCAAGATTCCCTCAGTATAATTGTTACTCATTATATCTGTGAAGAGCAGTTATGTAACTAGGGGGAGAACGGATGGCTGCCTAGGAAGCATCCTGTGGGCAGCAAAATTTGTAGCTGGTAATTGAATGAAATCTATCTTCAATTTTTTAATTATAAATAAATTGATAGATTAAAAAAAATCAAAATTATATACAGTAGATCCCCCTATAAGACGGTAGATACGTTCCGTTCTTTATGAATCAATTTTGTAGGAATCATAGTTTACGGACTACGGCTGTTTGAAAGGTTTTCTTTCATAAAATTAATCGATTCTAGACTAATTCGACTCAACATTTCCAAAATACGTATATTTTTTTTAAAATAATCCGTATAAACTACGTTATAAACAAAAAATTGTAGGATTACTTACCGAGTGTGTACCCTTTGACTACGCTCGTTGCTAAAGCTTGGTTTCGTCGCGGAACAGCGCATCAAATTGCGGCCGCGATTTCTGATATTATTTTTCTGCGAAAACTTCGTTGACCTTTGGAGACATCCTTAATATAAATAATTTTTATGGCCGTTAAATAAGAAATGTTTCTTTCACAAGAAATGTATAAAATTACAGTACTGGACAGACGATAGGTCGCCTAACTCGCCGTAGCGTGACGCTAGACGGCGAAAAATATATATTTAATTATAATAAAGTTACAATAAATTAAGTTAATATATAATTATATATACAGTACCTAATTTATATATAATTAATATATAATTATATGTACAGTACCTAATTTATATATAATTATATGAACAGACGATACTAAACTCAATTTATCCGCCTAAACGTCGTTAGCGTGGCGCTACGGACGGCGGGAAAGTAGTCCGGCTGCCCGATGACGTTTTACGTATTATAGGAGTTATTTTTACCGTTGTTTACGGATACTGCCACAATTTTTATAGGAATCATAACTATAGGAAACGGTTTTATAGGGGGATCTACTGTAATTACATTAAACTGTACTTTTATTAATATGGTTATATAAACTATAATAATAATAGATAATTTATTTTTTATAATTAAAGATAATATTAATTAAAAATATGACCAGTTTCACTTACTTTTTTATCTACAAATCGTAAATTGATGGTTGCTTAAAGATTTCATTTTCATATTTTATGTTTTTAAAACACTGTGGTTTTAACAATTTTCTGATAACTAACAATTTTTTCTTATCAGTTCCTATTATATTTGCACATAAGAGCACAATCAAGTGACACACTGATTTTTTTTAACCAACATATTTTTTTTTCCTTTGAGTTTAAATTTGTAATCAGGCATGATTTAAAAAATGTTTTATTTCATTGGCATTGTAGATATCTTTGTCATTGAAATCTTTCCTCATTTCTGCCCAAACATGGTTTATCCATTCATTTGCAGTTCTAGATCAGCAGATCAAGATTCTCCACTAATTTTTGAATAAACAATGTTATGTTGGTTTTTAAATCAATCCAGCCAATCATTGTTGCATACAAATGTGTAGCAAATTTTTCTGCTTGAGTCTTCTAGATTGGTCCATTTATTGAAAATCCAGCACTTCTTTGTGTGGTAAACCATTGAAGCTTTCTCAATGTTTGCATGATTGCAGTTTCTAAATCTTTTTGTTTCTGTTATGTTATTCTTCAGCTGCAAGAAGTAATTTTTCTTTTTCCATAATGTTGATATTGTCAGAGGGCAATAAAACCTTTCTACACACTTCAACTTTTTGTAAACTGAGAGACATTTCCTTTTCTTCATAGACATGTTTCTGATGGGAGGGTTTATTTCAAACTACAGTATAAAAAGTCTACACAGTGAAAGAGCAGGTAGGCATGAGTCAGCCTGAGCTGGAAGAGTTTTTGTCAGATGGAAGGGATGGAAGGAGAAATGTAGATTTTTTACATTTTAAAAATGTTTTTAAGCCATCTGTATCAAAAACAGTTTTATTGTTTTTTTTTTTTACAAATTTTATTTCTTACTTTTAATTCTAACATTACTTTATTTATTGATTCCTTTATTTAATAGTTTTTAGACTATTGGAGAAGTTTATGATATTGTTGTTTTGAGAGGATTATAACATAGGTTTATCACTATTTTCTAAGACTTGCAAAAATACTTAACAAGAATTTTAATACAATTCTAAGTTTTTGTTATTTTGTAGTGCATTTTAAAAATGTAATAAATAAAACATCTGAAAGAGATCAGTTCCATGTGTCAACTCCTCATAAATCTCCTTTCCTCACATCTAACAGATCTTTTCACCTCAAACTGACTAATGTCTACTTTTTCACTGTGCAGACTGTGCAGTAATTTTACAATCATAATGATGATTAGGTAAATTGCAGGACCAGAAACTAGTCACCAAAGAGAGGGATGGTTTCCAAAAAGCAAGTTAAGTGATAAATAGGCCTGTAATCCATACAGGCCATAAAACTAAGTAACCCTTTCAGTTTTATCTCTTCCAAGAATTTGGTACAGCATTTCTTACTACTTGAATAATTAAGAATGCTTATATGTTTGCATAGCTATCAAAAATTTGCTTGGTATATCGGTGAACTATAATTGTCATAACTATGAGCCAAATATATGGAAATAGGCATAAATTAAAAATGTTATGACATTTTGCTTATTATAACTGTGAACTCATTACATCCATGTTCATTATAACTGTTTGACTGTATAATGTTATGGATGTGAGAGATAGAAAATTCACTTTTTCAGTTATTTATATCTTTTTATAGGAAGTAATTATGTCATTGTTATTAAACTAATATTTATTCATTTTTTTTTTAATATAAGTTATCAAATAAAGCCACTTACTACATCAGTATATCATATTTCAAATATAATTTTTTTTATATTTGTTTTGAGCATATTATTTAATTTCAGTAAAAAAAAAGTAAACAATTAATAGTAGTTTGTGGCTATTTTCTGTATTATAAGTAAATTATATACATTAAAGAATAAATACTTAATTGAAGCAATCAACACATTATTCTAAAAGCTGATTATATACATACAAACTTGGTTATAATGAGCACTGGCAAGATTCCCTCAGTATAATTGTTACTCATTATATCTGTGAAGAGCAGTTATGTAACTAGGGGGAGAACGGATGGCTGCCTAGGAAGCATCCTGTGGGCAGCAAAATTTGTAGCTGGTAATTGAATGAAATCTATCTTCAATTTTTTAATTATAAATAAATTGATAGATTAAAAAAAATCAAAATTATATACAGTAGATCCCCCTATAAGACGGTAGATACGTTCCGTTCTTTATGAATCAATTTTGTAGGAATCATAGTTTACGGACTACGGCTGTTTGAAAGGTTTTCTTTCATAAAATTAATCGATTCTAGACTAATTCGACTCAACATTTCCAAAATACGTATATTTTTTTGAAAATAATCCGTATAAACTACGTTATAAACAAAAAATTGTAGGATTGCTTACCGAGTGTGTACCGTTCGACTACGCCCGTTGCTAAAGCTTGGTTTCGTCGCGGAACAGCGCATCAAACCGCGGCCGCGATTTCTGATATTATTTTTCTGCGAAAACTTCGTTGACCTTTGGAGACATCCTTAATATAAATAATTTTTATGGCCGTTAAATAAGAAATGTTTCTTTCACAAGAAATGTATAAAATTACAGTACTGGACAGACGATAGGTCGCCTAACTCGCCGTAGCGTGACGCTAGACGGCGAAAAATATATATTTAATTATAATAAAGTTACAATAAATTAAGTTAATATATAATTATGTATACAGTACCTAATTTATAATTAATTAATTAATTAATATATAATTATATGTACAGTACCTAATTTATATATAATTATATGAACAGACGATACTAAACTCAATTTATCCGCCTAAACGTCGTTAGCGTGGCGCTACGGACGGCGGGAAAGTAGTCCGGCTGCCCGATGACGTTTTACGTATTATAGGAGTTATTTTTACCGTTGTTTACGGATACTGCCACAATTTTTATAGGAATCATAACTATAGGAAACGGTTTTATAGGGGGATCTACTGTAATTACATTAAACTGTACTTTTATTAATATGGTTATATAAACTATAATAATAATAGATAATTTATTTTTTATAATTAAAGATAATATTAATTAAAAATATGACCAGTTTCACTTACTTTTTTATCTACAAATCGTAAATTGATGGTTGCTTAAAGATTTCATTTTCATATTTTATGTTTTTAAAACACTGTGGTTTTAACAATTTTCTGATAACTAACAATTTTTTCTTATCAGTTCCTATTATATTTGCACATAAGAGCACAATCAAGTGACACACTGATTTTTTTTAACCAACATATTTTTTTTTCCTTTGAGTTTAAATTTGTAATCAGGCATGATTTAAAAAATGTTTTATTTCATTGGCATTGTAGATATCTTTGTCATTGAAATCTTTCCTCATTTCTGCCCAAACATGGTTTATCCATTCATTTGCAGTTCTAGATCAGCAGATCAAGATTCTCCACTAATTTTTGAATAAACAATGTTATGTTGGTTTTTAAATCAATCCAGCCAATCATTGTTGCATACAAATGTGTAGCAAATTTTTCTGCTTGAGTCTTCTAGATTGGTCCATTTATTGAAAATCCAGCACTTCTTTGTGTGGTAAACCATTGAAGCTTTCTCAATGTTTGCATGATTGCAGTTTCTAAATCTTTTTGTTTCTGTTATGTTATTCTTCAGCTGCAAGAAGTAATTTTTCTTTTTCCATAATGTTGATATTGTCAGAGGGCAATAAAACCTTTCTACACACTTCAACTTTTTGTAAACTGAGAGACATTTCCTTTTCTTCATAGACATGTTTCTGATGGGAGGGTTTATTTCAAACTACAGTATAAAAAGTCTACACAGTGAAAGAGCAGGTAGGCATGAGTCAGCCTGAGCTGGAAGAGTTTTTGTCAGATGGAAGGGATGGAAGGAGAAATGTAGATTTTTTACATTTTAAAAATGTTTTTAAGCCATCTGTATCAAAAACAGTTTTATTGTTTTTTTTTTTTTTACAAATTTTATTTCTTACTTTTAATTCTAACATTACTTTATTTATTGATTCCTTTATTTAATAGTTTTTAGACTATTGGAGAAGTTTATGATATTGTTGTTTTGAGAGGATTATAACATAGGTTTATCACTATTTTCTAAGACTTGCAAAAATACTTAACAAGAATTTTAATACAATTCTAAGTTTTTGTTATTTTGTAGTGCATTTTAAAAATGTAATAAATAAAACATCTGAAAGAGATCAGTTCCATGTGTCAACTCCTCATAAATCTCCTTTCCTCACATCTAACAGATCTTTTCACCTCAAACTGACTAATGTCTACTTTTTCACTGTGCAGACTGTGCAGTAATTTTACAATCATAATGATGATTAGGTAAATTGCAGGACCAGAAACTAGTCACCAAAGAGAGGGATGGTTTCCAAAAAGCAAGTTAAGTGATAAATAGGCCTGTAATCCATACAGGCCATAAAACTAAGTAACCCTTTCAGTTTTATCTCTTCCAAGAATTTGGTACAGCATTTCTTACTACTTGAATAATTAAGAATGCTTATATGTTTGCATAGCTATCAAAAATTTGCTTGGTATATCGGTGAACTATAATTGTCATAACTATGAGCCAAATATATGGAAATAGGCATAAATTAAAAATGTTATGACATTTTGCTTATTATAACTGTGAACTCATTACATCCATGTTCATTATAACTGTTTGACTGTATAATGTTATGGATGTGAGAGATAGAAAATTCACTTTTTCAGTTATTTATATCTTTTTATAGGAAGTAATTATGTCATTGTTATTAAACTAATATTTATTCATTTTTTTTTTAATATAAGTTATCAAATAAAGCCACTTACTACATCAGTATATCATATTTCAAATATAATTTTTTTTATATTTGTTTTGAGCATATTATTTAATTTCAGTAAAAAAAAAGTAAACAATTAATAGTAGTTTGTGGCTATTTTCTGTATTTATTAGTAACTCATGATGCATTTTAATATTGGTAATTGTTATAATTAATATAGTTTATAAATTAACTTTTTATTGATTACTTGTACATTTTTTTATGTTTTAGTATTCTGGATACTCTCGTATAAAACATGATTCAGAAATACAGAATACAATGCCACATCCCGAAAGACAAAATTCCATTGTCAATTGTGATCCTCAGTCTTTTTATTCACCATGGTCTCATAAAGTGTTTCGGGCATCAAATCAATCACCAACAAGTAATGATATGCAGGTAAAAACTTATTTATTATACTCTTTAATTTAATGCATTTCAACATATTAATACAATGAAGTTCTGTTAACCTGGCATATGGTATGCTGGCAAACTGAACTATAAGATTTCATGTCAAAGTGCTCAAAACATAGGTTTTGAACGGAGGTGTGGGTTCTCCTTTTAGAGATGACAAATGCCAAGACAATATGATTCTGTGCTAGGTAAAACCAGTTAGATTGTTCATGATTTTTCTAAAGACTTTTCCAAAGATTTTAGTGCATGGGTTTGATGAGAGAGAGAGAAATATTTATTACACTTGAAATTAATAATTATCATGGAAACAGATACAGTACATTACTGTTCTTGTACTTTGATAATTAAAATCCATCTGTATTTAATTTACATTTATACACAGTAAAAATGTACAAAGCACAAAGTAAGAATAATGTGTGTTGGTTTTTCATTACATTCAAGATTAAGAGTAGGCTGGGAAACTTGAAATGGTGTGTTAAACAATCATAAAAAACAGATTTGTATAGTTTTACACACAAAGATATATAAAATTGTGTCCATAGGATCATTTTTTTCATTTTTTTTTTTTTTCATTGAATGATCATCATTTCCCCTTGCGGGGATCAGTCATCCTTGTCCCGCCATAGGCACCACAAGGAGAACGTTGCTTTATTAAGTTAAACCAGTATAAATTCTTATTTACAATAAACAAACTACAGTAAAATTAAATTAACATTAAAACAAAATGACGCGTTCTTGTCACGCTTGTACAGTAAAGCCGGTGGATTGCCGGCTGGTAGGTGGAGAGATGACTTTTCTCTCCACCTTTACATAAGAACCCTTCTCGCGAAGATCTGAATAGCATTTGCCAAGTCTCTGTCTCGGATTAGGTTATATAGGTCCAAGTTTGGGAATCTCGTATTCTGTGTATGGAGAAGTCTCAACTCCAACCTCTCCTTTTCGTATTTGTAGCATTCCAGGATTTTATGATTGAGGTCTTGATTTTCTTTACCGCAGTCACATGCCGCTGAATTCCTCTTGCCGATTTTTTGTAAGTATTCATTACTATTACAGTGTCCAGTGAGGATTTGGCTAGTTATGAAGTTTATTTTGAGCCATTGTAAATCTTTCATACGCTCTTCTACACTTGGTAAAAGCCAGAATGTGTGTCTACCTTTATTAGTGTAACTCCATCTGTCTTGCCATATTGCGTTAGTCTCTGCTCTGATGGTTCTTTTAATATATGATAGAGGTATCTTTCCGTGGGACGCATTCACCAGATTAGCGGCCTCTTTGGCTAAGAGATCCGCGCGTTCG